TCCGGGCATTGGGGAATGCCTTGTTAGTGAGACAACTTCCTGGGCCTTCGGCATATAGTGGTAGGGTGGCTAGTTCCTTTCCACGACGCCATTACTTTCCCAACTTTTCTACTCTTAAGACCGGTATTTTTTAAAGTGCTTGGTTTGATTATGAACTTTCGCACTAATAATACAATTCCTGCATGACATTACTTCAAAAAACCTTGAGTTTTGATACAATTCTTCTCAACAAAGGAATCAGTGAAAATGAAAATCAGAACAAGACTCAGCTGCCAAGAGGCTTTTTAAAGCGTATCCATAATAGCTTGGATGAACTGTACCTAGGTATTGAAAAATGACGACGAGAGAGGGCCAGGCTGGGTTACGGGCCAGGAGGGGACGAGACAGGATTACCTCCCCTCCCTTACCAACCACTCGCCGGTCCCACGTGCGACATAGTGGGGTGACTGTCGACCCAAAGCTCCGCGAGTGATTGCTGTGCGCGTGTGTGTATGTGCTCACGGTCGGTGATACTGGATTACAGGCTCACTTCTGTTTGAGGTATTTATTTATCGACAGCAACAACTGTCCATGTCTTCTCGATGGTTGAAGACTTACAGTACTCTAGAGCGTGTTTTATTTCTTGTACTTCATGAACCTTTGATGTCGAAATTGTTTCCTTAACTGCTGCTGTTGTTGTTGCTGCTGTTTTAATTGCTGAAACTAATGATGTGGCTGTTGTTGCTGTTTTGTTTACGGAAACGAATGTTTCAGCTGTGACTGTTGTTGCTGATATTGTATTTGATAATAGCAATGATAATGTTTTGTGTTGTATTTATTTCTGTTTTCCAAGTGTTTGCTTTCAGGTTCGTTCTGACTGTTGTTGTTGTTGATGTGTCCCATTCATAAAAGTATTCTTTCATACAAACACACAAGCTTAATGGTTTGCTTGACGGGATCCAAGAAGGGCGTTAGTTCAGAGCCCCCTTCCACTTTGATTACCTAACAGCGTCAAAACAATGAGATTTCGCGCGTACCAAGCAATCATAAACATTTGTCACCATAAAGTGGCGGCTTTAGGTTGGTCTCTCTTAGATTAACAAAGCTCATTGCGGTAATGGCCTTTTTGTATCCATTGTTGTCGTTTTCCGCGCGTGCTTCAAAAGAAGAGAAAGGATAATGATTCTACCTTTGCACTTTGTGGTATCTTTTAAGGTAAATAAGACTCAATCGCTTTATTTTTTTGTTCAATGAGAAGTCAAAATCAAGTTGAGCAAAAAGCAAACGAGCAAATGCAAAGTTATACTATTTGTAAGGGAATCAAGTAATTAATGGTTACGGTTAGAAACTCAGTCGTGTAGCGGACTTTTGTAGGATTCCCCAGATCTGGAGTTTCGTCCATCTGTCTGGAAAAAAAGCTCTTGCCTCATCTATAGAAAAAGAATTATTACCCCTTTTTTTGACGAACTGCGCATTGCCTTTTATGTCATGAAAGACGATCTTTAAAATAAGAAAAAGTAACATTTTTATTGTTCCAGAGGAAAATCTTTCTTGGGTCTACAGGACCGTAAAAACACAATATGCAGGTATACATAGAAATTAAATCATATATTTCTCTGATTTAAATTAAACATGGAAAGAAAGCTAAAGCTGACAATAATGTACATATCACATCAGAAGCATCATTCGACCACACGCATTTATTTATCGCATGACAAGACCCCTAGAGTTATTTAAATACGTGTATGCATTCGAAACAGATAACACGTTGACGTTTATTCTAACAGCAGCCTTATACTAGATGGCTAAAAACTTCTGTTGTACTCTCTTTCTTTGTTGTTAGTGGCACGTATCTGACTCTGCGTGATCTTTAAGCTGTATGCATGATACAACTTTGCCTCGGCAGTATAAATTGAGGAAGTAGATAACTGCCTGCTTAGTATGCACATTTGATAGGCAGTTCTGGCGGTCAGTTCATATTCAGTTCACTTCAGCCACGTATACATTGAGTGGGCCTGGTCCCAGCAGCAGCACATTGTATTCCTGTTACACTTGCTTGGTGTTTATGACAGGGCATAAAGTTCACAGCTACCTCTGATTTTCCATCATCAGTTCACAGCAAATGGTTTCTATATTATGTATACCGTGCTCCATGGGGGTCAACTTGATTGAGACTCTGTATCATCGTCTGTGGTGCAACAGCGAGTCCGATCCCCGCGTGGAAAGACCTTTAATCGTGTATCTTTCTGTTAGAAGCGTTGTATCCCTCTCAACCTGAAATGACCCTACAGACAGAGTCAGAGCCAGCGTTCTCACTGATTCAAATAATGACCTAGCTAATGCCGATGAGGCGTAAAACACCTTCTTAAAAAAGAGAAGTTGAGACTCATATCTCTAAACTTGTAATCCGTGGTTCAACTCCTTCAAAAATTCCACTGACTTAAGCCAAGAGAGCTTTCGAGGAAACCTTAAATATACGCAGTCTCATTGAAGAGAGACGATAGAAGATCGGTAACGGCCATTTTGTGTTGCAAGGGTCATTTACCTGGTTATATTCGGAGCAGATTAATTCGATGCCTATGTTAGTCAGCTGAGTTATGAGTTTTAAATTTCTGTTGTGAAATAGTTGTACTTAATATTGATTTTTCTTTACCTTTTTGTTCAACACTGCACCATATTTTGTCAGTGTCATCAATGTGTGCTTTTATAGTGAGGCTCCTTGCTGTTGCACACTATAGACATGGGTTTGATTCCGATACGGGATGGTCTTTTTTTCTGTATCTCCTTTCCTTCCAGGTTGGCCTAACTAGTTATGGTTGAAGCAGTCAGTCTTGTGAATTATCTCAACTGCATAGCTGGGGGCGTAAAACGTTAAAAATTTACAATCAGAATAATTTAGAATTTATGACAATACAATGACTTGAACCCTGTATAATAATATATACCTCCCGTCGATCTCTGCCAGTCTCAGTGTTCAAATTGAATAGTTTAGAGAGATAACGTTCTACCGATGGCGTTAAGGACATTACAATTTCAACAAGGGTGATTCCAGTTTTCGTTGACCGAATCTGAGCAGATGGCAGATTTTAAACGGAATACGTATGTCTCAGGCTTATATCACCCCCCTCCCCTCCCTACCAATTTTTCAACCTCATTCCCGCTAAGCTGATCCCACTGCCATATTATCATTAATTCATTATTGTAGTTAGATATGATATACCATGCTGCGCTTTACTGCGTTTCTCGAGCCGTCCAAGCACTGCAAATTGTGGAAATAGGTTATGATGTGTTGCCTAATCGTTTATAGCATCCCACAAACCCTTGATATCGTTAGAAAGATATGTCGGATCAAGGAACATTAGGTCGGGGTTTGTGGGGTTTTGTTGTTTATTTTGGGTTTGTTTTGAAGGGGGGGAGTTGTTACTTTTGTTGTTGTTGTTGTTTGTTTGTTGTTGTTGTTTTTGTTGTTGTTGTTGTTGTTGTTGTTGTTGTTGTTGTTGTTGTTTTGGGGGTGGAGGGGATAAGGTTGAATCATTCACAAATAAGAATAAATAAATGAAGTAAATGTTACTTCCATTTACCCCACGACTTTTCTACTATTACCTTGATCATCAGCCCACATTGATTTCCAGGTGTTTGATGGCGCCACTGGCAGGTCCTACTTCTTTACTTTCCCTCCGCTGTTTCTGTCTGTCTGTGTGACTTACTTTTTCCCTGTACTAGATGACTACTAGTGTATCGAGTGCTTCTCTTTACTCAAACAAACAAAGCAACAAAACTTTAATATTATTTATTCATTGATTCATGATTATATTCTTTTTAAAAAGTCGGCATGATAGAATTTATTACATGTCTAACTGTCTGCAACGCTGCGCGGTAAAACAGCATTTTTCCCGGTAGTCATCGCGACCTTTCTGATTCTTCCAATTAGTCCTTTGCGGCGGATGCATGACTGTAAGTAATCATGTATGTTACCATACAGTTCTGTACGATGGTGCCCACCCCCACCCCCACCCCCCAAGTGTACTGTGGAAGCTCACTTCGGAATATACAACTGAAAAAGAACCAAAACGGTAAAGAAGTGGAAAAAGCCTTATCAAAATACAATGTCATTTAAAAAATGAAAAAGCCATTACATTTTTATAGCTCAGTAGTTTTGCCAGCTGTGGTGTGAAATTCATCCCTGCAAATCCATTCATTTTTTTATCCTTTTAGTTCATTACTAGTTCAGCATAATTAGCTCTCTCTTTCGCTGTCTCTCTCTCTCTCTCTCTCTCTCTCTCTCTCTCTCTCTCTCTCTCTCTCTACCTATCTATCTATCTATCTATCTATCTATCTATCTATCTATCTATCTATCTGTGTGTGTCTGTATGTTTGTCTGTCCGTCTATTTGTCTGTCTGTCTGTCTGTTTGTCTCTTTGTCTGTCAGTCTATCTCTCTTTCTCTCTATGTTAGTCTGTCTGTCTGTACGTCTGTCTGTTTGTCTGTCTATCTCTCTCTCTCTCTCTCTCTCTCTCTCTCTCTCTCTCTCTCTCTCTCTCATATAGACATACGCATACGTGAGTCAGCGTGGTGGAATCAGGCTTTCGTCAAAATAATCAAATCAAAGATATAGGCATTTTTCAGCCCGTTTGGCAATTTTTATCAAATTTTTGTTTTCAAGCTCAACAGCTTTTACGTCTTTTTAAAAACACATTTCTGTTTTTATTATCCTGAAAAGCGTTGATTAAAGGTACACAAATGTACATTTTCAGTTTTCAAGGACTCATGCATTCAAAGATACCAGCTTTGGCGGTCATTTTCTCCCTTATTCTTCCTCTGAAATCAGGTTACCCTACTTACTTCAATCACAAATATTTCGACTTCTATTAAAGAGAGAGGGGTCCTTTTTTCACAGAAAGATAGACAAATGAACAGGCTTTAAGGTGACACCAATAACTCCACAAGCCCAAAAATTGACGAATGCCTGATTCCACAACGCTGCCTCACATATTATGCATACTCGTACTCTCTCACACACACAAGCACTAACGTAATCATATGCACACGCGCACACACACACACACACACACACACACACACACACACACACACACACACACACACACATGTATATATATATATATATATATATATATATATATATATATATATATATATATACACACTCACACACACTCACACACACTCACAAACACACACACACACACACACACACACACACACACACACTCAAACACACACTCACACACACTCACTCACACACACACACACACACACACACACACACACACACACACACACACACACACACACACTCACACAGACCCCCCCCCCTTTCACACACACGCACACAAACACAAATGGGATAAAACGGTGTCAGGAATGAGTATTTTTGCAACCTATCCACAAACTGGACCGTGATGCTGAGGTTATAGTCTGTCTTCCTCATAGTTTTGTAATTCTAGACCGTAGACTGTCATGGCTACACTGCTTTTTACTCCCTGTAAATTGTTTGTTATAGTAGAGGTTTTGCAGCGCTCGCAACTGCATACGGTCAT